ATGTGGAGTAATCTCCACCCAATGTGGAGTAGCATCACCTTCCACCCGCTGCAATATCTCAACGATCTAATCAACACTCTTCACCTGTCGAGAGTCAAATGTGACATACTTGCTCAGAACAAAATCAGAAGCCAATACCTGATAATCAAACACGCTTCTGAATCCTAAATGTGCTCTCGGATCAAATCTCACATCCTCGATGTGACCATATGCTGGACGACCAAACATCCGAAACAACCCAATATCTGAAACAGCTTCACCAGATCCAAAATCTCTAAACGCAGCAGTCAACAACCTATGAATAAGATGGCTCCAATATGTCGAAGCCTTATCACCAGAACTTCTCTACAAACCAATGCTCGACATCAAACACTGATCCTCCTCCAGCAAGGAACGGGTAATCAAATCTGCCACCTTATCTCGTCGCCCTAATGTTTCCTCTCTAATGAAGTATCTCAAACTACTGTGAGCTTGGTACAAATGTAAAAAAGAACCCCTACCAAAATCAGCTTGACGTATTACCTTTCTACCAATACACTTCTTCCACCTGTTGTTGACTACTAGGACTTCACACCAACGGGACTTGGTTCAACCCACAAACGCCTAGAACAGTCACCAACACAGGAAACCAAATACCTATTATCTCCTAATAATGCCTCCTTGAAAGGTCCCCAAATGCCTGAATGAACACCACCTAGAAGACCCCTCGATCGATGGATAGAAGTACCAAACTCTACCTCGGTCTTCTTGCTCATACCAATGTGCTCACAGGACTTCAAATTGCAAGTCAAAGCACTCTTCAACAATCCACGCACGGCACCAATAATCGAATAACCCAGTCTCAACAAACGCCACAGTCTAGCCAAATCCAAAGAAACTGTCAGCTCTCTACCAATCACATGCTTCCAATCAAATTATACAAATTCTTCCTCCTGACGCCCTTCATCACAATCATGGACTCAAATATAACCTTCAAAGATGTATCCTCTAAGGTCATCCTATAGTCTGCTGCCTCCAAAACTTCAAGTGAAATGGTGTTCTTCTTTAACTAAGGAACGAACTTACTTCATCCAACTCCCGAATCACTCCATCACACATTCTAATATGAATAAAACCGATACCACCAATAGGATATTCATGATCATACCCATGAGCATGACATACCCTCTTTCCAACTCCTAAAAGCTGGAGAACCAACCCCTCCTAGGACAAATATGGTAAGAAGCACCCAAATCCAACATCCACTCTGTAGAGTTGGCAACACAAACTGACGGTAGTGCAGGGCATGAATAGCCCGAAGAATTTGAATCTGAATTGTCGCCACTAGTCTTGACAAACATTCACCTCTGAAGCTTGAATAGCTTTCTCCTTATTCTTTCCGACTCGATCAACCAACTTTGGGCATTCGGCTTTTTAATGTCTATCCTCTTTACAAAAGACACACTGATTCTTACGGACTCTAAGATGTGCCCCTCTAGACTACAACCTCCTATTTTAGTTTGGACTATTTGCTCTTGCGACCAATGCCCCTACTACTGTATCAATCGACGTCTCCTTATCCTTCTTCTGAAGCTAATAATTCACAAGTGCAACGGTGACCTTACTATACGAAAGAGATGTTTTCCCATTAATTAGAGTAAGGACGAATGTCTCATATTTCTCATCGGGCAAGGAACTCAACAATAACAACACCTTATCCTCATCTTTAATCATCACATCTACATTCGCCAAATCCGCAAAGAAGATTCGTGTAGTGATTCATGTGATCACCAATGGAGGTCCTTTTCTTCAATTGGAAGCGATAAAGCTTCCTCTTCAAATGTAAGTAATTTTTCACACTCTTGGTTAAATACTTGCTCTCTAGGATCTCCCAAATCTTCTTAGCCGAAGTCTTATTGATCACATCATATTTTAGATCTTGGGTAAGATAAGATCTAATCACACCACACGTCGTTCGATTCATCGTTTTCCAAACCTTTTCCTCAATGTCATCCGGTTTCCCGTCCAACTCCAATGTATCTTCCAAATTTTGTGCTTTGAGCGCATCCAAGACTTCACATCTCCGAAGACCAAAATTATTAGCCCTGTTAAATTTCTCTACATCTGTTTTTATAGAGTGAATATTCAAACTTTGGACGGTCTTCATGCAGGAAGTACCCTCCATAACTACTTCTTTCTCGACCATCTTTCTCAAAGCACCAACAAACCAGTACGGAACAAATGAAAAAAAGATCCAAACTGAAAAGAAATATTTTTACCTCCAACTTAAACCCTAACAAGAGTCTCCAAAAGATCTCACCCCCACATGACGGTAGACAAGATCTATAATAGTAAAAATCTCACCTTTATCACCAACTGAAGCACTAGACGAGCTTCCAAAATGATCTACTCCTCCATCAAACCCAAGCATAGCCAAAGCTCTGATACCACTTGTTGTGCGCGAAAGCCACCAATCGTTGTGCTTCGAGGAACCAAACACAAACGCCGAGAGAGAAAGCCAAACAATGCAAAATAACGGCACAAACATAAACAAACAAATTTTACGTGGTTCGGCAAGTTGCCTACGTCCACGGGGCAAGAAGGGAATGAGGTTTTCACTAATAGAGAAAAAGAGTACAAACTGAGATTACAAATCACTCAAACTCACCAACAAAGCTCTTAATCTCTCAAGTAAAACCCTAACCAATAGCTCCAGAAAATACCTCTTTTCTATGCTCCAAATATCCCCACAATAGCTCCCCAAAACCCTAGTGTGTTGATATTTATACCAAACATCAATCCTAAACAGATCAAGAAACCCAAACCAGGCCTAAAAACCCGATCTGGTCGACCGACCTTGAAGTCGCGGTCGACCGGCCAAAAACATGAAATCTCAACAAAAATAATTACAGGGTTTCGATCGACCAACAATATGGTCCGGTCGACCGGATAGGGTTCGTGATCGACCGACCTATCCTCACGGTCGTCCGAACAAAAGGCCAAAAGAATACCCTGTAGTGTGCACGTTTCCGATCGACCGAACTTGCTTCACGGTCAACCGGAATGCATCCAAAATCCTTCCTGCTTCGTTTTTCCTAATCTTCTCAACTATTTTCGCCGTTTCTATATAGCTTACACCGCACCAACGGACTAGTGGGCCCGAGGCCACCTCTAATGTCTGTGGAGAATTCAGAAAAATCTAGATTTGTTTCATAAGTCGACTCATGCACAGGCATAAGTCGACTTATGGTAAGTCGACTTGTATCTGTGCACGAGTCGACTTACGTTCTGTTCTGGAATTGTTAGTTTTGGCTCTGTCAAGTCGACTTATCTCGACTTATCAGGGCTGATAAGTCGACTTATGATCTATTCTCCAGTTGTTGATTTTCGTTCTGCCAAGTCGACTTATAGCCCCTGTTAAGTTGACTTATAGTGGGTTTTCTGCACAGTTTGAGTTCCTATTTGGATTCTGTTTGGAATTTGGTGTTTGATATAAATACCAGCACGTTTTAGGGTTTCTTTGGCTTTGATTGAGCAGCGAAGGAGATATTTGGAACACAGAAAAGAGAGTTTTCTGGAGCTATTGGTTAGGGTTTGGTTTGGAGAGATTTAGAGATTTGTGGTGAGATTAATTGGTGAGTTTGAGTGATTTGTAATCTTAATTTGTACTCTTCTTTTCTATTAGCGAAAACTCCATCCCTTTCTTGTCTCTTAGACGTATGCAACTTGCCATACCACGTTAAAATTGGTTGTTTGAGTTTGTACCGTTATTTTTTGTTTGTTTTGTCTTCTCTCGGCATTTGTTTTGTTTGGTTTCTCAAAGCACATAGGTTTGGTCGCTTCCACGCGCACAACAGTGTCCACATCACCTGGCCATGATATGGGGATAGGCTAATTGCCATGTCGCGATAAGAATGTCTCTTTTGTAAGGTGGGTGATAGCGTGAAGTCGTGGAATTCCAATCATAGCATCATAGTCAATTTTGGCAATGATTTGAGCCAAATAACACGCTATACTCAGTGGGTCCAACTGACACCGCACCAATGGGGTAGTGGGCTTGGGGCATGACATAAATGCTTAACCTAAGGAGTATCGCTTTTAATTTTGAAGACTTTTGCTCTATGGACCTACTCTCTTATCTGTATTCAGATGTTGATCTCTGGCACACATGTCACTGTCATCAACAAGTGCTTTTATTACCTCAACAAGTTTTACTTATGGTTGGTTATTACAATCGTTATGCTCTATATATCCCCACAAGTTGAGTGTGAACCGAAACTTCGGTTGAGCGTCCCATTCATGGGGACACGTTTGACTATTTTATGCAGCTCTATTTTTCTTTTAAACCTATTTTTAATGTGTGCTTGATAGGATTCGAATCTGGTTTGCTTGGTTACCATCTTAAAACTCTTCCATTGCATCAAAACTCCGAAGTTTGAGGGTTGTAGTTTTATTACTTAAAATGCTTAGCTCTGGGATTATTTTCTTTGCCCGTTCAACTCCCAGTACGACGCATATATGACCGAGATAAAATACGTTTATCAAAGCGTCTGCCTAATAGGGGAAGCAAAAAATAAATATATATTGATTTCTGCTCTTAGGACTCTACATATCTTTGAGATCAACTAGAATATCAATTTTTCTGAAAATGACTGAGAGGACCAACAGCCTCCAAACTCCCAGGTCTTAAGCACTGCATGAGACAAGCTCATACTTAGTAGAATATGCCTAACACCACACTTAAGACTGCTAATTCAATATGTTTATGCCCCCATGTTTGTTTCATCTTTCATGTCCCTAAAGTAGACTAGATTCTTCCAACAATCTAGTTGCCTGTGGTGAATCAGCCCACTGAAATCAAGGATTATCTTAATACAAGTCAAACTATATATATGTCCTTAATTAAACCCAAAAGGATGGGTTTTTTTTTTTTTTTTTTTTTTGAAAGTGAAAGATGGGTATATTAGATTGACTACCCGGCTACTTTATCCCCTTCTACTTGAAAACGTATCCGTGTTATTTTTTGCAGGACAGACGTACCTTATCTCTTATTCCTCTTGAAAATTGCAGGCACGAAAACAAACCCTGCCTGTTGCTTGGTCTCAAGACCAGTCATTTTTCTGTAACTATTATTAGCTTGAGCTTTTTGAAGATTTGGGTTAAGTTATTCCTCACTGTTGGTGTTCCTCAGTGCCGGGGTTCTGATCAGATTTCTGAAAGAAGGAGAGAAGTTATTATTAATTTTTTTTCCCCCTGGATGAGTCTGTTTTTACCTTCTCGTTGAGAGTATTTCTTGAGGAGTAGGTCTTGATCTTAAAAGTCTGCTTCGTTCTTTTCCCACCACCATGCCTCTCTCTGAATTTCATAGAGCTGCGAGCAGAAATCTTCATTCTACACGATCCCTGATGACTGCTGATGTCTCTTCCTCTGTGTATGTCTATATTCACGTTCTTCTCTATACTACTACTTTTATTTTATTTTATTTTTTCTCCACCCCAAGATCACTCACTTATTATATGTGCTCATGTGTGAAAGATCAAGGGAAGGATGTTATTCGGGGACTCCGGTAGAGATTGTTCTCTTTTTTGTGTACGCGGCAAGAGGAGAGGACTCCCTTCTCTATTATGGGCGTGCCATCCCCCCTCTCAGTTCCCCAAAATACCGCCTGAAATCTCTCAATATCCCACGTCCTCCTCTTCTGCCGTTAAGCAGACCCGATCTCCCACTGAAATATCCCCACGATCGTGAGATATCTATCAACAAACCGAGTCAGGTTCTTAATCAGATCGGCGTAAACAAATATTGGCACCATTGAGGCCAAACCACTTACATCTCCCACTTAGCCGAAATGGCCAAATGTTTTCGCAAGTACAACACTCCTACATCCGTGAGATGCGTGACTCAAGATGTAATTCCATACTCCCACTATTCGTGAGATATATTTATATTTTCCTCTACGTGAATAAGCCGATGTACAACCATTATCCATGCATATCGTTCTCCTTTCATTTTTCATGAAAAGTTTCCTTGACTTAGACATTTCTACAGTCCCATCAAACCAACATGTTTTGATTGAATGTACCTGCTGGTGATACCGCTTTGTCAAGGGGTCAGCAATCATTGTCACTAGTAGTGAATATAAGTAACACTGACTTCTTCTTTTTTCCAAGCAATATCCGCAATATTAATGATATTGCTATCGTCAATATTTTTTCCTTAAACTGTTTGCACACACGTTTATTTTTTTTTTTTTGATCAAGCTGTGGCTGCTTGATTATTCACAGTATATCTCAATTGGTCATCCACCAAATTGAGATCCAAGTCCTTTAGGAAACCGTCTTATTTCTCAGACTGCATGAGTAGTGGCCATACTAACAGAGCTATGTACTCAGCTTCTTGTGTGTATCTTGCCACACATCCCTATTTCTTACTACCCTAAGAAACAGCTGCACCACCAAAAAAGAACAAATGTCCAGAAGTGGACTTCCCGTCATCTTTGTCTCCTCCGAAATCAGCATCAGAGTAACCAAGAACCTCAAGCGAATCTGCTTGATAAACTAACTTATGGTGCACAGTACCTTTCAGGTACTTCAAAATCCTCTTAACAGAGCGAATCTGCTTGATAAACTAACTTATGGTGCACAGTACCTTTCAGGTACTTCAAAATCCTCTTAACAACCTCCCAATGTGCTGGACCAGGATTACTTTGATATCTACTAACTAAACTCACCGGATATGCCAGGTCTGGTCTAGTACACAACATTGCATACATCAGGCTTCCAACAGCTTGTGCATACGGGACACTAAGCGGTTTCTGCCCTTCTCCAGGACATTGTTCTTTACACAACCGCTTTCCCATAACCAAAGGTGTTGGCGCAGGATTACAATTCTGCATTCCAAACCTTATTAAGACTTAACATTCTAGACTTTCTATCCCTAAGGATCTGTATACCAAGAACATAGGATGCATCTCCCATGTCCTTCATCTCAAATTCACTACTAAGTGCTGACTTGATTCTGTTCAGCACTTCTATGTCATTTCCAGCCAGCAAAATATCATCCACATACAAGGATAATATTGAGAAACTGCTACCACTCTTCAAGACATATACATAGTTATCCAATTTATTTGCAACAAAACCAAGCTGGATAACAGTATTGTGAAATTTGAGATACCACTGTCTAGATGACTGTTTTAAACCATATAAAGATTTCTTTAATTTATACACTTTGTTTTCTTGTCCTTCAACCTGAAATCCATCAGGTTGATTCATATATATTACTTCCTTCAACTCTCCGTTGAGGAATGCAGTCTTGACATCCATTTGGAAAAGCTCCAAGTCAAGATGTGCAACAATTGCTAAGATAATTCTTATAGAAGCAAACTTAGCCACCGGAGAGTAAGTCTCCTGATAATCTATACCTGCCTTCTGAGTAAAGCCTTTAGCAACTAATCGGGCTTTAAATGTATCAATAGACCCATCAACCCGATATTTCTTCTTTAACACCCATTTACATCCTATGGACTTCCTATCTTCTGGTAAGTCACATAGCTCACATACATTGTTTCTCTCTATTGAGTCAAGCTCCCTTTTCATGGCTTCCAGCCATTGTTCTGATTCATGTGTCTTCATAGCATCCACATAATTCAAGGGATCAGCTTGCTCATCTATGTCAATGTCTACCGAGAAACAGGATGGTTCGCATGAATACAGATAATAATCATCCATCCATGCAGGTGTAGTTCTGGGTCTTTTATTACCACTAAGGTTGACAGGTTGGACATGTTCTGCTGGTTGATTTTCCATAGGCATATTCTCATTTAAGGGCTCATCTTTCATTATTGGATGATTTACTCCATCCACTATGTCCAGGTCATCGTTGGGAACATCATCTAAGTCTAATAGAGGTTGTACTGCCTCTTGAACTTGCTCCTTTTCCTCTAGATTTTCTAGAAAAGTAGCATCTTTACTTTCAATGACCCCTTTCTCTTCATGGAAGAACCTATATCCTTTAGACTTTTCAGAATAGCCTATAAATCTACACTTTAAGGTTTTGAGATCCAGCTTATCTCTAACTTGATATGGAATGAGAACATGTGCAACACAACCCCATTTTATTAAGTGACTTAATTCAGGTTTGTGTCCATTCCAAATCTTATACGGTGTTGACTCGACTGATTTTGTGGGAATCCTATTCAAAATATAATTCGCAGTCAATACTGCTTCTCCCCAAAAATCCTTGGAGAGACCAGAATGTGACAGCATACATCTCACTGCATTCATCAATGTTCTATTTTTTCTTTCAGCCACACCATTTTGTTGTGGCGTGTAAGGCATAGTGGTATGTCTCTTAATGCCATAATGAATACAATAGTTTTCAAATTCCTTTGAATTGAATTCTCCACCTTTATCAGTTCTTAACACCTTAATATATCTTCCAAGTTTCCTTTCCACTTCTGTCTTGTATCTTTTAAAACATTCAAATGCTTCTGATTTTCTGTTTAAAAGATACACAAAAGTATACTTGGAATAATCACCTATGAAAGTTATAAAATATTCTTTATTACCACGTGTCTTTACGCTTAACGGACCACAAATGTGAGAATGAACTAACTCTAAAAGTTCACTTGCCCTCTGACCTTCTGAAAATGACTTTCTAGTCATTTTCCCTGTTAAGCAGTGTTCACAGGGTAATGTCCTTACACCTGTCAGATTTGGTTAACAAAATCCATTTTAATTATCTGATCTATCTTCTATTACCTAGGGTGTCCTAGTCGCTCATAAGGTGCCATATGGATCAAAAATCAGATAAAAGACACGAAGGAATAAAGCAAATCAGAATTCTTATTGGGCAAAGTTTCAGGTTTTAACAACAATAAGACAAAATAAATCATGTTCGGCGTAGCAAACTTAGCCCATAGCAAACCTTTCTTGTCTTTCCCAATAGAGATCCGCTATTGTTGAAAAGCTAACTTCAAGGCCTTCTTCAGGGAGGGGCTTGGACGGAGATCAGATTTCGTTCATTGCGCAGGTGGCATAAAAACTTCCTTGAGACCGGCATGATGCTGTCCCGCAAGATCCAATCTGTAGAACCATTACCTTCAACATCTAGGTAGAGTATTGTTCCCCATGTAAATCCTTTGATCTCCCTTCTTCAGCTCCTTGAACGTCGGCATATCGGCGCTTCCTTCGTCTTTGAATATGTTCGGGTAGACCGGTCCGCGAATCAATCACCAGCCACCGGAGCGTCTGGTAGTTGCAGCATTGCACTCAATGACGCGCGATGAACGTCCGCGCTTACGGCGGAATCCGTCCTTGTTCCTGGGCGCTTGGGACCGCCCTTGTTCTTCGCCTGTGGAAGCAGTTGGCTTTGAAGTGCCAGAACTTCCTACAGATATATGCATATCCAGGAGTCTCTTCTTACCGAGGAGCACGTTGGCTGGCCAGGGTCCTTTGAAGGGAAGGTTTGACAGGTTCTTCAAACTGATGATTTCCTTGTGCCTTGCGATAGTGAGCCTGCATTTGCTTCTTCTTGTCTGCACAAGGTTCAGCATCTGAAACCTTTTCTCCTACTATAAATTCTTGTTCCATGCTAATTGGGTTCTGGTAAAATAGTAAACAACGTTTAATAGTTGCCATTAGCCTAAGTAGTTGTGGCAGGCCCATATCTAGTGACGGTGGCAAGCTATTCAAAATAGTTGCCACTTTAATCTGCAGGAATTCAGATCCTGCTGAAGCCTGGAGGTCCTTAGCCATGAACAAGATCTGTTCACGGGATGTTCGGTAACAATTTTTCACAATCTGCTACGACTTGAATTAAATCCTATGCATCAAGAGCTGTATGTCACGCAATCAGAGTAGTGTCTACTTCTCTTTAATTGCAAGCCACGATTTCCCTAAGCCGCGTATTGTAGTTTTTCAAAACTTTGATTAAACATATCTTCCATGAACATTAACATTAAGGCTTTTAGCCTTTTTGTCCTTAGTTGGCCGACTGTTCAAGCTCCTTATTCTGAGCGTGCAGTGGGGACGTTCACCGGGCAGAGTTGGTAGCGAGAAACCTCTAGGACAGGTATCTAGATTGTCATGGGATAGGAAGTCGCATACTTAATTTTTCTATGGCCACATATCATAGTTGGAACCATTAAGGTGTTGCTATCTCTTACAGTAGATTTTGGTAACAATTCATTAATTATCTGATCTATCTTCTATTACCAGGGTGTCCTTAGTCCATATCCAATAGATCCAAAATCAGATAAAAAACAACAGGAATAAAGCAAATCAGTAATTCTTCCCCATTTCAAATTTCAGGTTTACAACAGAAAGAACAAACACAGATCATGTTCCGGGTACACAACTTGCCCATAGCAAACACTTTCTATGTCTTTCCCAATAGAGACCCTATTGTTGTAAAACCTAACTTTCAAGTCCTTTCTTCAGGAGAGCTGGTGGACGGAGATCAGAATTACGCTTATGGCCAGCGCAGTAAGAACACTACCTTGAGAACCATGATGTGTCCCCAAGATCCAATCTTACGACAAACCACATACCTTCAACATCTAGGTAGTATTGTTCCCGAACATGTAAAGTCCTTTGATCTCCCATTCTTAGCTCCTTGAACTCGCATAATCCTCCTTCGTCTTCTCAATATGTCGGCGTAGCTCCCGAATCAATCACCGCCACCGCGTCAGTAGTCCCAGCATTGCCACTCAATGACAGCCGAATGAACTCCCGCTTACGCGATCCCTCCTTGTTTTCCGAGCGGTTCTTGGGACCGCCTTATTCTTCGCCCTGCGACATGGCTTTTGAAATGGCCAACCTTCCTACAGCATTATAGCATACCAGGAGGTCCTTTCTTACCTGCTGAGCACGTTCGCTGCGCCAGTCCTTTGACAAGGAAGGCTTAGACAGTCCAAACTGATGAGTTCCTGTCGCCCTTGCGATAGTGGGAGCTGCATTTTGCCTTCTTCTTGTCTGCACAAGGTTCACCATCTGAACTTTCTCAGCTAGTAAATCCTGTTCATTGCTAACTGCGGCTGGCCAAGTCAATAACACGTTAATGGTTCCATAAGCCTAAGTGTCTGTGGCACCATATCTAAGTGAAGCGTGGCAAGCTATTCAAAATGTTGCCACCTGCAATTTCTCAGGAAAATTTCAGATCCGCTGAAGCTAGCGTCATTAGCCATGACAATCATCTTGTATCACATGTTCGGTAACATCTTCACCTCCTTGCATACGGCTTGAATTGAAATCATGCCATCCAGAGCTGTCATGTTCACCCTCAGAGAGTGTCATATACTTCTCTTTAACTGCAAGGCCACATTCCTTTAGCCGTAATTATTAGTTTTCAAAAAATTTTGATTAAAACTATCTCCAGGAACATTAACATTAGGCTTTTAGCCTTATTGTCTTTAAGCTGCCACTGATCAATGCTCCCTTTTCTTGAGCGTCCAGTGGGCATTATCACCAAGAGTTGGTGCCAGAAACATCTAGGACAGACTATCGTAGATTGTCATGGATAAGTCCGTACTTAACTCTTTCCTAATGCACATATCATGAGTTGGAAACATTAAGGCGCTTCTATCTGCCAGTTCAGATGCAATCAACTTACTAGCCACATGACGATTAATAAACGCTGTTATGTAGTTTTCAAATCAAGAATTGATTTTTAGATTACTAAAGAATAAAAAATTAACTTAAAAAAAAAAATAAACTTAAGTAGTTGATATTAAAAACCTTTTTTTTTTTTTTTTTTTTTTTTTTTTTTTTTTTTTTTTTTTTGAATTTAGTACTGTAACTTCATAATAAAATATAAAGATAAATGATTAAAAAAAATATAATCAACAACAAGATTAGTTTAAAAATTCGCGAATTTCCCACGACTAGGCACTTAGATGAGACACTATAATAACTTAATATGGCAAAATGAGGTCTTTATATGAACATACTTTAGAAATAATGGATTAATAAAAAAGAACTTATCATTCCTTTCTTGTACTCTTCCACAAAAAAAAATTACAAAACAAAACGTGCATCAACTATAAAAAATAGAATGGATGCGGTACTTCAAGCAGGGTGCGGATAAAGAGTATTAAAGGGAAAAAAAATTCTAAAGAAAACGCAGCACCTCAAAACTCTCCCAAATAAAAATAGAAGGGATGGGTACTTACAGAGAGGCGGTGAAGGAAGAGTGGAATTTTTTTTTTTTAGAGAACTGCGTTCTTCCGGAGAGCAGCTGCGAACAAGTTGCTGCGTGGGTCGACGGGCGTGGATCTGCGGTTGTGGGGATCAGAAGACGGTGTTACTAGGCGGAGCCTGGGGCTGCCTTAGAGGAGCAGATCGGGTCTGGGAGAGGAGATCAGGTCTGGGAGGAGTTTTTTCTTTTGAAGGCTTGAAGTTGTTGGTCGGAGCGGCGATCGCCTCCAGAATCGTCGAATTTGAGGGAGACAGCGACGGAAAAATTAGGATTTGGGAATCGTACCAATGCTCTGATACCAGTGAAAGATCAAGGGAAGGATGTTATTCGGGGACTCCGGTAGAGATTGTTCTCTTTTTTGTGTACCGCAGAGGAGAGGAACTCCTCTCTATTTATGGGCGTGCCATCCCCCCCTCCGTCCCCAAATAACCGCCCTGAAATCTCTCAATATCCCACGTCCTCCTCTTCTGCGTAAGACCCGATCTCCAACTGAAAATATCCCACGAATCGTGAGATATCTATCAACAACCGAGTCAGGTTCTTAACAGATCGGGTAACAAATTTGGCCCATGAGGCCAAAACCACTTACAATGTGTTCCTAGGCCTGATGACGAATTTGTCGAGCTGCTATGGGAAAATGGCCAGATCGTTATGCAAGGACAGTCGAGCAAACCGAAGACGAGCTCTCATCCAAAGGTTGAAGACTGGGATCACAGAGATCCCACAATCCAAAAGTTGAGCCACCCCGAGGAGTTTGATTCCGTAGCCAGCGAGGCATCACTTGCAGTGCCTTGTTCCGATATAGGATCGTACGCGCAGGACGATGATGATGATGGTGTGGCTCCTTGGATTACTAACCCGATGGAGGATCCTTTTTCCTCGGAGTTCTTCTCTGAGTTTGTCGGCATTAACCCAAACCCTCCCTCGATCGAAAGAAGCGATGGGCATAGCTCTAGAGCTCTCAGAGAAGGCTCGGGGCTTAGTAAGATTGGAGGCAACCAATCCCAGGGTTCTGTTCTGAATAATGCTATGTCCAGAATGTCGGGTTTCGGGGCCGATGATGACCATTTTCGGAAGCAAGGCTCGGCATCAGCTTCCAAGCCATCGGGAGCAAGCAATGGAGTCGGAGTGATGAACTTCGCTAATTTCTCGAGGCCTGCTTCCCTTGCTAGAGCTAACAGTGAGAGCTTGCATAGGTTGAAGACGAACGAGAAGGTGTCTTTGGCTTCTGCAAGCACCAATCCTACGGAGTCCACATTGATACAGTCTAGCGGGGCCCGAGGAAATTTAGCTCTAGATTTGCAATCTAAGGTTAACAATCACAACTATGCTAGTCTTGTTGCCAACAAAGGAAGCATATCATCTGATCATCGCATTGATCATCAGAGATCAAGATTTGCAGCGAGCATTCCTGTGGCTGAAAAGGGTCCTGAAGCAGCTGTTGCCTCTTCTATGTGCTCAGGCAGCAGCGCTGGAGCTGCGTCGAGTGATCAAAAGCATGGAGCGAAGAGGAAGGATCGAGAAGGAGAGGAACTTGGGTACCATAGTGAAGTATGCATACAAAATGAAAGGAGAGAAGAAAAAAAAACTCTTATAGAAACTATCATTACGGCCTAATTAATTGTTTTTGGTCAGGATGTCGACGATGATGGCTCGAAGAAACCTGTTACGGGGCGAGGAGGCTCTAGCACGAAACGAACACGTGCTGCAGAGGTGCATAATTTGTCAGAAAGAGTGAGTACATTTTTTGCGGTTCTTCGCCGTCTTGATTTGGGCTTGTAATGCGGAGGTATAAACTGATTTCCTTATGAACAGAGGCGGAGGGATAGGATAAACGAGAAAATGCGAGCGTTGCAGGAGCTTATACCCAACTGTAATAAGGTATGAATCCCGTTTGATGTCACATGATTTTATTTTGGTACTACTGGTCTAGTGTTGGATGAAATGAAAGAAATGGGGTATCTTTTTCAAGGTGGATAAAGCTTCGATGCTCGATGAGGCCATTGAGTACCTCAAAACTCTTCAGCTACAAGTGCAGGTAAAATTTTTACCCTCCTCAGAATAGTATCATGGGCTAACTGCGGATGGACCGCCTGTACTATCGTCTGATTGTTGATAGACCTCATGGAGTTCTATTGGCATGGATAGACCCTCTTGAGTTGCAGATAGACCCCCCGAGATATCTTTTTCACGCTTAATAGAGTCAGAAAGGTTTACTCTAGGGGTCTATCCGCAGCGATGGACTAGAGGGGTCGATCCGCACTTTACCCTACTCTCACTTGTCAGGTTCTCAGTTTGTCAAAAGTCAACACAGATGATGTCTATGGGGAATGGACTATGCATGCCACCAATGATGTTACCGTCCGGGATGCAACATATTGGTGCACATCCAATGGCTCATTTCTTGCCGATGGGTGCAGGAATGGGGATGGGCATGGGAATGAGTTATGGGATGGGGATGCTCGACATGAACGGGTCTCCAAATTTCCCGGTTATTCCAGTCCCTTCGATGCACGCATCACAATTCTCGTACTCGTTGATCCCAGGGACCTCAGGTTTTCAGATGCCAGGATCGACGGGTGTTCAGTTGTTCGGAATCCCCGGGCATGGGCAGGGAATTTTGCCCGTGCAAGAATCGAACACGGAAGCAACCATGGATCAGCCTAGAACGGGCAGAGAGAACTGATAAACAATGAGTTGCAGCTGGCACCTTCCTCTTGTTTAGATTTTGATTCCTGATCAATGTTGCATTTTGCATTTCTCGGTCTGATTAGACCTCATTACCGCCGGTAGCAAAAGGGACGTTTGTTCGGGAATCAGGCATTGCATGTTGATGGAAAAGCGGTCGCAAACTCTAAATGATGCGGGAATGTGTTGAGGTAGGTAACAATAGAGTGAGTGTTTCATATGTTGATTGTGGTTTTCCAAACACATCCAAGGGCTTGAATTTTATGTAGGTTTTTGTTAATTTACAGGAGGACAGTTTCTCTATTTTTTTAAAAAACCCAATTTTTAGATTTAATTATAAAATTCGTACATTTAATAGCAAAAGTCAACCCACTTTTTCAAATGGGGTTGAGTTCTAAAACTTCTGACCCGTTGGATACAAGAGGTTATCACTTCCTGGTATTTTTTTGCATGTAAAAGGTACCAGAGATTGCCAATATCAGGGTGTTTAACAGATAGATTTTAATTTAAAAAATCAACCAACTTCTCGAAAGTTGGTCTGTTTTTCTTAAAATGTAACCCGGGTCGAATTTGGTAATTAAACTTCAAATATGTTTTTTTCTTTAATATCTTTGTGCTTGAACAATTCTCTGACTGGCCATTTGCTTGATGTAGAGGGACGGGAATGGCGCGCTCATTTTTTCGGAGGTGAGAAGTGGCAATCACAATGGCGTTCTGACGCGAGAACATATTTGCAGTATGCTATCATGCATATCTCTTGAGGACGAGGGTGACTATTGGTCCAGATGCCTTCAAAGATGATGATTGTGAGAGAAAGATGACCCTCACTTGGAAAAGTGCTGAGTTTCTAACTTCATTCTGATGCACAACGCAGAAAGTTTCTGAAGTTCCCTTTTGAAGCCACATGTTTTTGTGGTTTATCACATTACCCTTGTTATAATTTAGATAAACCCTTCTTAACTGTTGTACAGTTAATGTATAGCCTGCTTTTGTAAGCGAGTATGCATATGGTAAGTATCTGTATCATATCCGAGTCATATCCGAACAGCTTGCACCCTTACTTGTACAGCTATTCTATAGCCTACTTCGGCCAAATTTATGTACTACTTTCACTGCACAAGAACTTCGTATCTCTTCTGGTTTCAGTAAATGTAATAGAGCAACATAAACATATTCTAACTTGATCTACATGCTCAACCTGAGACCTCTGCTCAGTTAATATCGTAAAAGAGAAAATTGGTGGGTGAGTGGGTGGGTGGGGGGAGCTTTCTCAAGTATTTTGATCATGCTAAAGGTTTTAAAAGGAAAATGGTAGGGGCCGGCACACCCTCAACCACAACCTCAACCACACCCCCTCTTTCATTTGATATAGTGCACCGTACCCCACATGAGATTTTAAAATTTTAAAATTATATGTGAGACCGGGGGTACTATAGCAAATGAGAGAGGGAGTGTGGTTGAGGTTGTGGTTGGGGGTGTGCCCCTAGTGCCATCCGTGGTAAAATGCAAATGGAGGTCATCAGTTAACCTTATTGATTAGATTGGACGTCACGGATCTGATACTGTTTTATGATTAAACTACTGAACTCAGATCGCTTTGATTGATGTCAATTATACATAGATGATACTTACCCTTTTTGGTAACCCATCCCATCTCATATTATAAAGTTGGTAAAGGAAATGTTATCTTCAAGATTCCCTTACACCTGATAATTAATTTGCCTCATACTTGAAAAATTTTTCCCCCTTTTAGCTGGCAATGGATAAAATATGCAGCTTCAGCATCTAGTGCATACATCAACTTGACTGAGATGAGCATACCCCGTACAAATAATAGATGCCTTGGCATAATATGCTTTGTGTCACGTGTGATGTCTTCCCTTGCAATCCTAAATTAAGAGAGAAGGTGCATCCTTTTTATTTAGATTTGACAACTGCTCTCTCTCTTATTATGTGAAAACAATGACCGGTCGAATAAATTCTTTATTGAACTACACGAGACGTCGATCACTCTTAAGGCGGAAGATTGTTATTTGTGAAGCCTGGTTTATATTTAGAATGCACACCCCATGAGGTCCTGGAATTGAAAGCCTACAAAATTGCTTGTGACGCAGCGCGGGAGTTGTAGCATCGGAATCCACCAAGGACAATCTTTGAATCCATGAAGAGCTTCGAATCCACGAAGTAAATATTAAAGAAAAACAAAATTTTATTAATCAAAAGTTATTATTCACCTTTGGGGTTACATAATTCTTATTAAATAGAAAAACAAATAAGACTCCTAGTAAGAATAGAATTACAAAGAAATAGAAAGTATCAAATTCTATCCTGAAAAGGCTCCCTATAATAAAGGGAACAAATCATGAATCAAAATTGAATTTATTTCCTAATCTAACTGGACTCTAATATTAAATTTATTTCCTAATCTAAATAGACTCCAATTTTATTACTAAAAATAAACTAGAAGCTGATTATTTTTGGATTTCAGCCAAAACTAGGTATTACTGATGAGATTTTAAAAATCTGACAATCTGGTTGGCTCCGTCTCGCCGAGATAGATGATTTACATATATAATATGTTAGAATTCTCCTTCCGGGTTGAAAAATATGACTGTTTCTTTGCAGAAGTTAATAATACGTGTAACTTGTGATTCTCTGAATCCTCCATGAAATTGTCCGTTAAGCGTCCTACATCAGTCTCCCCTTGTTGAAAGAAGCTCGATCCCGAGCTTATATTTGTTAGAATAGTAGCTTCATTGATAAATAATTTTCTTCTTTTGCAACGATCAGCATCCGCCTTGTATTTAGTATTGATCTTCCAATTTTGTTCTCTTACCTCCTCTACTAGGACTTCTTTTGTATCAAACTTGTGTATGAATCTTTTCCATGACATGTGTATGTAACTGGCAGCATGTGACTCTGTAGTCGACATGAAAAACTCCTCCAAATATTTTCCTTATTGCTTCCCATATTCTAGCGTCGATGGTATCATCTTACCATTGTTGAAATTATTGATGACTATTGCTTCCAAAAAATAATTTTCTTCCTCCTACTTCATACAAAATTCTTTCATCTCCTTTATCTCAAGCTCTCTATCAAGCAATGCACACATATCATCAATTGCCTCGCTCTCTATTTTATCATTCTCCTCCATCGGGACAATATCAATATGTGTAACATCACTCACAATATCATGTAGATTATTCATCTTTACTATCATATCACCATAATGAGTCTCATGCATAATGATTGTTTGCACCTTAGGAGGAATTTCGGTAGGGGCAGGTTCTTCTTTTTAGTTACAACCAAGTCATAGACCTCTTCAGATTGCTTCAAGTTTTCTGCTAAAGCCTCGTTGTTTCTTTTTAGTTACAACCAAGTCATAGACCTCTTCAGATTGCTTCAAGTTTTCTGCTAAAGCCTCGTTGTTTGCCACCAAAGGTTTAGACCTCTTCAGATTGCTTCAAGTTTTCTGCTAAAGCCTCGTTGTTTGCCACCAAAGGTTTCTTCTCCTTAGTAGCTTTTATCTTAGATGGCTCCTTTTCTGTAAAAGGCAGAAGTACAATTCGGCGTCCATCTTTCTTGAAGATATAAACATTATCTCTACTTCTGTGGGTAGCTCTAATATCAAATTTCCATGGCCTACCTAAAAGCATATGACAAGTATCCATCTCGACCACATCACACAATACATCATCAAAATACATGTGACCGATAGAAAAAGGTACACGACACATCTCATCGTTCTGCACATCATTGTCCTTGTGAATCCAGTCAATCTTGTAGAGAGGTGGGTGTTTCTCTGTCTTCAAACCTAACTTATTCACCATACGTCGAGAGACAAGATTCTTTCTGCTGTGATTGTCAATAATAACATCACAAATCTTTTGCATCACAGTGCACCTCGTGCGGAAGATATTATGCTCTGGAGGTGATTCTTCTCTCTTTATTGCTTCTTTAGTGCTCTTCCCAACTCCAAAGTCTTGCTTAGGGTCATTGTCGCTGTTGAATTCATCATGTGGAGTCGAATCACGTCGTTGGCGACCATCAACGTGCTTTCGAACTCCTCTCGTGTTCAGACGCTCCACTGCCGATGCAAGTCGTTCTACGATAGTCTTCATCTGATTAACACTGGTCTTCAGCACATCGAACTCAGTTCGAGAAATAGGGGCTTCATCACCTGCCATCGGATCAGAGGAACAAGGCTCTGATACCAATTGACGCAGTGCGGAAGTTGTAGTCTCGGAATCCACCAAGGACAATCTTCGAATCCACGAAGTAAATATTGAAGAAAAACAAAATTTTATTAATCAAAAGTTATTATTCACCTTTGGGGTTACATAACTCTTCTTAAATAGAAAAACAAATAAGACTCCTAGTAAGACTAGAATTACAAAGAAATAGAAAATATCAAATTCTATCCTGAAAAGACTCCATATAATTGAGGGAACAAATCATGAATCAAAATTAAATTTATTTCCTAATCTAATTGGACTCTAATATTAAATTTATTTCCTAATCTAAATAGACTCCAATTTTATTACTAAAAATGAACTAGAAGCTGATTATTTTTGGATTTTAGCCAAAACTGGGTATTACTGATGAGATTTTAAAAATATGACAATCGAATTGGCTCCGTCTCATCGTGATAGATGATTTACATATATAATATGTTAGAATTCGCCTTTCGGATTGAAAAAAATGACTGTTTCTTTGCAGAAGTCAATAATATGTGTAGCTCGTGATTCTCCGAATCCTCTATGAAATTGTCCGTTAAGCATCCTACATCAGCTTGCCCAACTACAAGGTCATGCGGTGTGTCAGCAACACTGGCGCCAGTCCCACTAGCTGATTAGCTGATGAGGGTCCATAAAAAATTGAATCTACAGTCTGTAACATGTGAGAACTTTCTCGTAGACATAAACCCTACCACATGTAAACTGCCTATTTGATTACCAC